TAGCTGTTGCAGTATCAAATTTATATCCTACATCACAATATTCAACCAATTTTAGATCTGCGAATTGTGTGTAGTATAATTCCAAGTCTTCAGTATCTTTTAAATAACGTAATAAATATTTGATGCCATTTCAATGTCGTAATATTAGACATACATTATGTCTTGGAAGAACACTAACTGCAAATGCAATATCTGATCTTATAGATGTAGCTAAATACAAAAGTGCTCCAACTGCTACAAGATATAGATATTGATCTCCCAATATTTCTTCCTCCTCTTCGCATAGATAATATAGATCATGACCATAACGACCACGTCCAACCATTAGTGTAGACAATAGATAAGCATCAATCATATTAAATCTTTGTAAGATTCATCTAATATATGTTAGTTGGTAGAGAAAAATACTACCATCTATTAGATGCATAATCTGAAGACCAATGCAAAAAGTTATTTTTCCTAGTATTTTCATCTCAAATTCACATATAAATAGATTAATAGCTATAACATATACAGATGTAGTATCCACTAAATTAAGATCATCAACATATATAGCGATGATCACAAAATCAATTTTATCTTATTTGATAAAAAAACAAGAGATTAAAAGATCACTTATAATATTATTTATAATTAAATAATCTCGAAGACATTGATATCACATGCGTCCGGATTGTTTTGAACCATACAAGGCCTTACATAATTTAATACCATGATATTGTCCAAAAGCGGGTCAATTTGGAGTTCCTGTTTTTAAGCCAAGTAGAACTTTCATATAAATATTTGTATCAACAGAACCATATAGATATGCAATTACTATATCTATCAGATGTATTTCAAAGGTGGTATGAATTGTCATTCCAATAATATATCAAAATGTAATTGAATCCATGACTGGAAAATATGTAGATTCATAATCAATGCCAAATTATTGAGTAAATCTTTGAGCAACAAGACGAGCTTTATAGCAAGTTATTTGGCCTTCAGCATCTCGCTTGCATATTAATACCATCTTATATCCCACAAGACAAGATATAAGAGTATCTATAATTGGACCAAAGACTTTCTTCTTACGCAAAGAGGCATAGTCCTCCTCAATAGCAATTTTCTATTTTGACCAATAAGAGCAATGCATTGCTTCTTTGATAGTTTGAAATTTAGGATCGTCTTCTTTGCAAGAAAGGGCTTCTATAATCATATATGCAAATGATTCATCTACCATAATAGATGTTCTGTCCCAAATATCACCTGTAGGACAATACAGAATAGATAATTCTTTACTCAACTTGTTCTTATTCCTTCAAATTTCAAGGTTGTTTTTCATAGGAATTGAAAGTACATTATGCATGGATATATCATCATGAATTGGTAGTCTTGATAGATGAGTGGCAATTTCTTGAAAAATAATACCAAGATTAGTCAATTTAATAGCTTTCTTTTTACGTGGTTGCTTATCTGGTCCACGAGTTCTTTTAGTTGTTGTTGTTATAACTTGAGGTAATGTAGTCAATGGCACTGCAATCTGAGTATGTGCATTCTGAGCCTCATTAATAAGAACTCTTGTAATTCTAGATGCATCATTAAAGCAATCGAGTATTTCATCTATGATCCATTTTAGATGCAAAATCTTAGCAACTTCAATTTCTACCAAAGATGTTATAGGATCGGGATTCATTGTAAATGTTTTTGGTACTTCAAATATGAGTATTTTATTTCTTTGTTGATTGGATATTCCTCCTTGAAGAGATGAAAATATATTTTCTTCAAAACAGCAATTTTACAAACATGTACGTAATAATGTGCCACTTGATGGATCAATAATACAAATAATGCTTGGTGAATCAAAACCAACATATATATCTTCTTGTCGATGAGCTTCAATGATACGTTCTTGAGATTCAAGTACTGGAATCCAAGCACGGCAATCAAATACTGGTAAGTAAGATACATTTGGAACACAACCTGAAATGAGTTCATGTGGTGGAATAATTTCAAGAGAAGAAGGACAAAGGCATATTAATGCTGCAGTATGTAAAACTACATGATCCTACACAGATGCATGTAAATTTGCATGAAGGAAGAGTGGTCGGGTAATGAGTTGTATACGCTTTATAAATGACTCTTCAAGTCCATTTTGAGCATGTTCATACGGAACACAATATGTCAACTCAATTTCTGTTGCAATACAATAGTCTTCAAAAGACTTTGATGCAAATTCTTTTACATTATCTATATGCAATGTTTTTATAGGATAATCAAGAAAATGTGCCCGAAACAAATAAGTATAGATATAAGATTGGCAAACACCATGTTTCGAGTTGATAATAATAAAATATGTGAGTATTTACTTGATGCATCAACAAGGACCAAAAAATAACGAAATGGTCCTAATATTGGATTAATAGGACCACAAATACCACCATGCAATCTTTCAAACATTAGTGGTAATTCTTGTGGAAGTTTCCAAATTGAAGGCCGAATAATCATTTTACCTTGCATACATGCATGCATAACATGATTCCATAGAGTCTACATCTGTAGGCTTTAAATTGTGCGAAGTTATACATGGAATGATCTTTCTAAATAATGTGGATCTTGGATGTCTCAATCGTCCATGCCAGAGAGAAACACGACTCTCTGTGATAGATGACGCAAAATTAAATATAATGGGAGGCCGAATCACAATTTGGTATAAACTATTTTCTGTACCAAAAGCTTTTTCAACAACTTTATGGTTCTTTGCAAGAACCAAAACCTCTTTTTTATTTAAAGTGGCAGTCGAGAGGTGATAACCATTAATACGCACATTTCGGTAGCTGATCAGACTTTGAGGTGCTGAGGGTACAAACATCACATGTTTACATTTTATGATAGAACCCGCAGGTAATTTTATCATCACTATGACCTCTTAGAAACAAAACGTATTTGCTCCAGTCATGATCATCATATTTTTAGTTTGTCAAGTTAAAGATTTTTCAATAAAAAATTGTCTATCTCACAAGATAGTATGTATTGTTGCAAAATCAATGAGCGCATCATTTGATTCATCATTAGAAGTTTTCTCATTTATATAAGCCTCTACGTCATCAACACCAATTGAATCCATAGACGCATCCATGGTGTGAACTTCATGAGCCTCAGCTCGTAGTTTCTTATTTTCTGGGAACTTTTTAATAAAATATTCCGAAGTACGGCACGTATGTACAAAATGTCAAATCATTCCACACTTATGGTAAGAATGCATCTCTGATTTTTTTCTCTACTATAATTAATAGTAGAACATTTATTCTTTCTATATGAGTAGAAATGGTCATGACTATGACTATCTTGATACTTATAAGCATGTTTCCCATGTTTATATAATTTTTTCTTAGATTTTGAAATATTAAGTATATGAGATTCTAGAACTATAGTTCTAATAGGACGAGCTTATGCATTACACAAGAGTAGCTCATTTTGCTTCTCTCCAAGAAGTAGATAGGACATGAAATCAGAATGATTCTGAAATTTCATGTTCCTATATTATTGTGTAAGCATAGCAAATACATGAAGAAATGTAGAGAGATTTTTCTCAATCATTTCTTCTTCAGAGATGATTTTTCCACACAATCGTAATTCTGAGACAATACTATATATTTTACTATTAAAAGCATTTAAATTTGAAAAATCCAAGACACGTAAATGTGTCCAATTATGATATGTGCGTGGAAGGAAAATGGTCTCTTGATCATCAAACTTGGATTTAAGATTCTTCCAAAGTTCTACAGGATCTACCATTTCCAAGTATTGATGTTGTAATGTAGGTACAAGATGATGACGAAGGAGAAGAAGTGCTTTCCAAAAAATAGCAAGAAGAATATAAATACTTATTGTAGGAGTTTCTTCAAATATAATGACATTCGAGAGTTGTTCTACAAATAAATTTATTTTTGCCATTTTTGCCCATAATAGATAATTGTTTCCATCCACAGTCAATGGTTGAAATAAAAGAGCTTGAAGATGTTGGGATGTACTAGTAATAGTTGGAACCATAGTAGAAGCAGTTGAAAATGTTGAAGCACTCATTATAAATAAATTTGTAAAGAAAGTACAAGATCAAGTAGAAAAGTTGAGTAAAACGTATCTTAAAATATAAAATCAAATAAAATGATAAACTTGAACTTGAAAAATAAAAATGTTAATTTTTTTATTTTTTATTTTTTATTTTTTAAGGAGAGATTGTAATTTAAGGCAGCAGAACAGCAGTAGGACGGCAGTAGCTTACGAGGCAACATCAATGTCAACGACGGTAGAGTGGCAGCAATAGTAGCAGCGACAGTTTGTCAATAATTTAGTGGTAGCTCAGTGGCAGCTCGGCGACAGCTCAATGGTAGCTTAAGGGCAACTTGGCAGCTAGCATAGGGCGCAAGAAGGTGAAGCTGGGCTAAATCAAGTATTCTAAGCAAGCATGGCAAAGAGTGGAACAAGTACTCTAAGCAAGCAGCTAATGTATGAGGGGCCAGCAAGAAGAGCAGCAAGATCATGAGGCAAACATTGAGCAAGAGTAGCAAGAAAAGTCAAGACTAGAGCAAAAAAAATTTGAGATAGTATGTAGAAGAGAGTCATGCTGATAACGTGTTGAAAATGTTTAGAAAGACACAAGAGTAATAGTAAGTAATATACATAAGAGAGTTTCTAAGGAGAGAGAGCTTTACACATAAAATTCTATTGATCTGGTTGTGTCTCGTATACAAGAAGAGAAAAGGGGAAAGGATAAACAGTACTTCTCCACTAGACTCTAAATACTATAGGTACAATATTTACTGTAGTGTACAGTAAATATTATGGAGAGAGCTAGCTACATTTAATGATCTAAACATTGTAATAAACCTGTAGCTTTTCCCGCCGACTGTGCTGTTGCATTTCTCTAGGACGTCAACGATTCCTTCACGTTTTGGAATCTCTCGAGAGGGTTTGCAAAAAAGTGTTACAGAACTCAGTCAAAGTTTTTAGAGGTAGTAATGCCAATGTAGATCGTATCCGATACATACAACACTTCTAAGGAAGAAAAACTTGTGAACAGCATGTCTGCTGATAGAGCCGTCCGGACTTATCACGACTTCTCGAATAATCACAACAATGAGGAATTCCTCATTCTACTAGTTACTCCGAATAAATATACCAGTATTTGGTAAAAGTTTAGTGAAATCCTTGTCATTACTACGCAGTTTCAAACTCTAGCATTGCACTTGTAGCTTGATTTTCTTCAATCCTTCTTTCTGTCTATTTAAATGTACAGATGTTGAAAACATTTCAATTTCACCAGGCGTTCGTGAAGCGTCAGCAGCGATGGTGGATGTTAGATAACATGCAGTGTAATGTGGCTCCGACGTACACAACCCAGTTCGTGATCAGTGTGAGGAAATCCGGAGGAACATGAAGGGGTTTAGTCAAAGCATGCGTTCGAGTCGAATGCATTTGAGAATCGGGAATTGAAGAAGTTTGGGACGGACACGTGAAAATCAGCCAGCTGAACTTCGTGTCGCTTCATGTGAAACTCCGTAACTGCCCAGGGTCGCAACCCCTTGTTCTTTCTCTCTGTATTCACTTCTCTTTCCCATTTGGTTTGCAATTTCTTGAAGCTGGGTTTAGGAGTGAATTGTTTCGTCAGGAATCACATAACGAACTGTTCTGCGCAAGCATGGGTGTGATCAGTGGGGTGCAAGGCACAAAGCAGACGCAATCGCTCCTTTGAGGTATTTTGAGCACTGTGAGGCGGTACAATTGCAAAGTATTTTGTGCAAAGACAAGTGGCACCAGTATACTTGGGAATATTGAGCAGTATTTTGTGCTTGGGTTCTCACCATTCTTCCAGATTAGGTCGTGATTTGGCCTGTCGGTGGGGCTGGTGGAGTCAGGAGTCTTTGATTTAGTTTTTTCTCTTCCTCTTTGTATCTGCAAAGATTTCTCTATACCATAATTCTAGTTCCACCTTCATGCTTGGTATCTAAAAGTTTTCTAGTTATTTTCCGTTCTTGTGTCGTGTGCATCAAAGTGGAAATAGAGTAATCTTGGTGTGGATGAGTCATCAAAACTATCCATGAGCGAAGATTCAAAAGTGGAAACATGTAGCAAGAGCTGGTGCGTCCCTGGCATGCAAATTAAGTAACCGCTTTAGCAGACCCTAATATTGCTTAAATTATTTAGATACAGCACCGGCACCATGGCCGACAAACCTAAATTCACAGATGTATGAAATCCTGATTGTAGACATTCACAGTCAACACGAGTGGGCGGGAGAGGCTTGGACATGTGCATGACAGGCTGGACCCACGATAAGTTTCGTTTTGAACTCTGATTCCTACCCAACTTTTCACGACGTCCTAATTCTGACTTGACCAAAACTATTTTATCAAGAGCTGGATTCCATGCTCTGGTGTCATCTTGTACAACTCAGCATGTATTCACTTGCATTTGTTTGATTATTCGTTTATTTATTTGTGTGTTGTTTAGATTGTAAAATGAAGTAAAATGAGTAGAGTAAGTTAGAGATTCGTATTTTTTTTCAAGATTTTTGTTTTTCTTTTTTTTCTTTTTTTTCTTTTTTTTTATTTCTTTTGTGTGGGTAATATATCTGAACAAATGTTATGTTTGTTTAGTGTTCTTTTTCCATAGAATGAAGCATACTGGTCTGAATTTTAATCTTTCATTTGCTGCCATTGAATTCAAATCATGCAAACTGAGCCAGGCTTTCAAATTGTAATGAGATCACATGTGTTTACTAAGTCTTTGTTTTTTCTAAGTCTTTAAGGCCTTTATAAATAAGAAATTCAATTAAAGTCCCAAATGATGTCTATATTCCTCTTTATAAAGATGGAAGCACTGTCATGTATTTTGCGTTTAGAATATCTATAATGTCACCACAATTTTGCTATTGCCATCACAATCTCCCAACACATGCCATTTTTGTTCAATATTTTTCAAACCAATCATATAAACTATTTAGAAATTAAATTATTGCTGAAATTATGTAGTAAAATTGTGGATAGTAGAGTATAAAGTTGTTGAAGTAAAATAAGTAACTGAATAAGTAGGGAAACAGATTGAATTAACATTCTAAATCTCATATAATAATTAAAAGTAATAAATGTGATATATTCAATTACGTTTGTGTATTTTTATATACCTATGCATGTATACAAGCAAATTTCATCTAAAACACAAAGAATTATTATTTACTCCATATGATATTTTTTGAATTTATTTATTTAAATATTGTACTAAATAGTTATTGGTTCGTTTAGTAATAATAGTTTGAATTAAAGTTCCTAAACAACAATCTAATGATTTATCTTCTCACAGAAACAAAGTGTATCATTAAATTTAAGATGTTAGACCTATGCAAACACAAAATACATGTTGATTTTTATATAAGTCATTCAAGTATTGTACATCAGTCTAAGCCACCACTTGCTTTCTAAGCCACCACTTGCTTTCTTTACTATGTGTACATTTCTTGAGGAGAGGTACACAACAGGAATTGCATCGTAATGCACCCAAAGTCATGAAGATATTGAATGAGTGGATTTGTAGGACAAACTTATTAATTTCAAGCTGGTAAGTTGTTTGCTTTAGTGTAGGCAAAAGAAAGTTTGTCCATCAAAGAATAAAATGAATTTATACTTTGCTGTCCAAAAATACACAATATACCCCATTTCTTATTACAGTAGAAATATTAGAATTAATAGTGAGAAGATAGAATTAATGTAGAATATAACAAGAAATAATATCGGTATATTTAGCACAAAATAGCTTTTCTTAAAATCAAAATTATAGCAAATTTTATTAATTTTGTTTAAACCATGAATTCATGTCTATAACAACGGTGTTACAAGTATGTATATATGTGTGAATATACATACATACATACATACATACATACATACATTTAAAATATTTTTTTATAAAATGATAATAATTTTCTAATGGTAATAGTATACAACTTTAGCAAAAATGACACGTTGAAATATATTTTACTGTCAAATAATAACGCAAAGTCAAATCCACAAAAATAATACCATAACAAGATACTTTTCAATATTAAAGCTTACATTGCAACTAACTTTCAAAACATGTAGGAAGAGATCAAACCAAATAACTCACACTTATGCAAAAATAATTACACACACATGTGTATATATATACACATACATATTGGGCACATAAAGATGCCTACAGATTATCCAACTCATTGAAGCAACTTCCAAATAAACACACCAAAACCCATTAACAACCTCCCACTTCAAAACTCATTAAATCAAACCAACACAACATCGGCCAAACACATCTACTCATAGTGCATTTGCTTACTTTGTTCAAAAGAAAGAACAATAGCTGAAAGAAAGCGAGGAAGCCCCTATACATAAATAAAGAGGAACTTGGTGTTAGTTTTCTGCTCCAAATTGCATGGACAAGTGTAAGAAAGTGTTTAACATTAAACAAAAATTGAGGATTGAGATGGAGAATGTGGAGGCACAAAGTGGGGAAATTCCACAAAAGATTCATCAAAGAACTGCAAAAAGACACACACCCTAATGCTCCCCGTTTAAGACGCAGCCAATGTAACTGCACCCTCCAGCTTTGCCATGTTTGGCATGAGACTGTGGATAGAAGCACATGATCAGCTTCAAAAAGCCCACTATAGCATTTTATACTATGTAAAACAACAAAAAGACAACAAAGAGAGAAAAAACAAACAAACGAACCGACAAACAGTGAGCGTGTCTCATTCACCATCGTTATCACCATCGCCAGAATTCCAGCTTGATTGCATGCTTTCTCACTCGGTCGCACGCTCGCTGATTTGTGGGTGGGTGTGTGCATGTGTCTGTGTGTGTGGGTGGCCTCACTCGGTCGCTCGCTCCCTGATGTGTGGGTGAGTGTGTGCATGCGTGTGTTTTGTGCAGATATTTCTGTTTGTGTGTGTTTGTGTGTGTGGGTGGCCAAGCTCAGGCAGGAATTGGCACAGTGGTCGATAAGTTGGAATAAGTGGATTCTAGCTTCAGCTACACTTGTAGTTGTCGATGTGGGTCACCGAGGTGGTTCAGTTGTAGAATGAAGATCCCGAGCCAGAGCTGGGTTGTTACGGAATCCAGGTGAACAAGTTGCAGATCGATCTAGATTTTCGGAGCGAAGGAGGGATGGAAGGGGAACACCCGCCGGGTCATAATGCTCTTGGCATGGCTCGGACGCTGTGTCTAGAGCTGGAGTCTGTTTGTATTGAGCGCTGGTGGAGTCCCTGATCAGATTGCCACAATGGGGAGAGGGGTTAGTTAACCCGGATTTGGAGTTGTCTGTGTGGGGGAGTTCACTATGGTAAGGATTCTAGCTAGAAGAGCCCGAGAGTAGGAATTGAATCCTGGAGGATCCCTGATCTGGTTTAAAATTGGGTTTTTGCTTGCCTCCGCTATCTTGAATGCGCCGCTTGAAAGCTGCTGTTGTTGTCGATTGATGAGGAGCATGAACCGGGACGATCTTTAGCCTCGTGTGGGGGTGATGCACTTGAGTTGGATCACGCACTCTTCTTCGTCCTGCGTTCTGTTGTGGGTTTTCTTCATGCGTGCTGGCGCGTGCTTGGGTTGTAATCGGTTTGGAACGACCTTAGACACGGGGCTGTCATCAATGTGTCTCTCCACGACTGCTTTCAGTGCTGTCTGTGTTCAGAGCCAAGGGGTTGGTAGTTGCCAAACAGCCTTGTTGATGCCCAATTTCTGTAGCGAGTGCGTTGTGAAAGCCTGCGGAGTTAGTGCATCGTCTGCGGCATGGAAATGTCTCCGCTTCGCATTTGACCTTGGGTTCGGGTCGATTACGCACACAGTCTGCTAGTGGAATGCCGATTGAGCGAGATTCTCAATCCCGGCGATGAGAGGATCCACTTCAAACCCGTTTTCAGTGGCCACGTTGTAACCGGAGCCTCGGGTTTGATATGATCAGAGTTTGGTGGTTTTGGTCTTGCTCATCGATATAAATCCTTCAGAGGTGATTTCCTTAGCGGTATGGCTCTGACTTGCGGTTTTGTAGCACTGAAATATTGGAATGGCACATGAGGTTGACCCATGAACCTCGGGGTGAGGATTCGAAGAAGCTCTCATAAAGAGGGCGTGAAGACTAGGATTTGAAAAACATGAAGAGGTATGCGAGGCTTCGGCAGGATTGTGCGGAATGTGACAATGTGTTGTACAATGGGAGTCCGGAGGATTACTCTGTCGACTATGACATTGCGCAGTCTCCGTGGAGGATATCAGAGAGATCTGCCTTGCCTCAACGAGACTCCTCGCCCAATGTGCGGCCCACGCAGCCTGCGAGCTCATCCGCAGCTGGCCCGCCTTTCCCCAACTATTTGACCGAAGCTTTCAAAATGCTGGCCGCGCCTCAAGATGACGGGTCGAGGAGATTTAGCGAGCAGTGTGAAGTTGGGGCTGCTAATGACGATATCCGGTCACGATCTTCGAGTGAGAGGTGGCCCAACGATGCACAGGACGACGAGTGTGATTCCCAGGGTCCTAAAGGTGAGATGATTTTCCTTCTCGCTTCACTCCTCATCACCAAATTTCGTGGTCCTGTTGGGTACAGCCCTCGGATGTCTTGACTGCTAGCCATTATCACAAGTTTCGCAGTATCAAGCAGGGGAAAGGTCATAGTTTTGATTGGTAGGCCTCCAAGACAATAGAAAACTGCGCCATTTTCCTGGGTTTTCTCAAGGGATTTCTTTAGTTTCACGGGCACTGGATAACTTCTTACCCCAAGATGCTTGAACGTTCCAGTGTCTCATTCACCAGATAGACTGCTAAGGTTGGGGGAAGCTAGTAGTTGCAATCTAGGGAGAATAAAATTTTCTTATCCGAGCAATTGACATGGTTGGTCCTACCAATGCTGAAGTTTAAAATTAAAAAAAATCTGCAGGAAGTGGGCGATGGGGGTCAGCGGAAACGGCGTCCTTGTGTGCGCGGTGGGGCTCAGTGAGCACAAACGATCAGTGGGACGAGGCTGAACAGGGTATGGACTCCTTCCGTGATCCTCTCTCCCCATCTCCATCGAGTAGACTGTCGCAGGAGGAGAAGCCGCGGACAGGTTCAACCACTGCACCTTCACATTCAGCGTCCATCGAGAGAAAACCTTCGCTGCGAAACGCTCCCAGTCAAGAGTGGCTAAACGCGCTCACGGGTCACGCATCTCCAACATCTCGTCCGACAGTCCACGCTTTTCCAGACAACGGTAACAACCATCTGCACGTCACCCCTCCGTCAGTTCAACGAGACTCCTTCCTGCGAGAGACGCAGGGATGGCTAACATCCGTCATACGCCCCTTGCAATCACGAAAACACAACCCATGGGAGGATCCCAGCGAGTTCAACTGGAGAGCCGCAGCGACATTAACAACAACCACCATCCACCACCACAACAACACCATCAGATTCTCCCACGGGCAGACGACGACATCCACTGACTGGTTCCCAATCCATGAGATACAACCGCCTGAAGTCATCAGACTTACTGACAAGCTCCGGCGGCGAAACAGGATTCAACGACGGTGATCACCACCACATCCACCCCGTAATTAAGAAAGCAGCATCTATGCGAGAGCACAGGCTCCATGGGGGTACTACAACGGCCATAGCAAGAGCATGCAGTGAGAAGTATGGGGTGAGGCAAGCAATCCTGGATTGTGTTTCCTGTGGGCGAGCCTCACCACCCATTGTGCAAGACTATTCCTGCCGCCAGCACGGTGTCGGTGACTGGACCCGCAGTGCAAGCACCAGATCCGACTGCACCAACTCCAAGCGCAAAGGGGTGATGCATTTCTGCCGCCAGTTTATACGCATTGGGAAGAAGCTGGACAAAACGAGTTGAAGGCATATGAGGGCGGGGATCTCACTCACTCACTGGCTCACTCGCTCACTCTCATCGTGAACTTGTGGCGTGGATCCGAGCGATGGCTCCTCGCACAACAACCATGTCGGTAGCACAAAAATGCACACTGGAAAAACCACAGCTTTGCACAGCTTGCTCGTGTTCTAAATCGTTCACGCTTGTGTGCTGAATCTGTGTGTGTAGCTCGGTTGGATTGAGATGGGTGCATCCTCATGATTTGAGCATCAGTTTACGTCGATGGATTCTCAGTTTGCATCGAATTCTTCGTCATGGAACAGCTCAGTGTCAAGAATTGAGTGACTCTGGCTGTGGACTCTGGCCTTTTTGGACATGTCGGGAGTCGGTGCATTCCAAGGCCTCCGATGTGATGCATGAAGGTTGCCTTGTGTGAAAATTGATTTACAATTTCCACTAAGAAAATGGACATTTCATTGCAGGTTCTATATTTTGGGTGTCATGTCTGTTTGGTTTGTTACGAAAGTTTGGATTCAGAAGTCCTGAATTATTCTCTGTGTTGCATTTGGACAAGTAGTATTTATGCTTGGTTTGTTCTCTCTTGTTTTTTGCTACTTGATTGTTTTTTTTAACATTACCGGTTTTTATTTATTTATTTGTATGTTTGTTTGTTTTGTATGAATAGTTTTTTTCACTTTTGGAAAGTTTAACTGCATTTTGGATTTTTGTTCATTTCTTCAGTTTTTTAGAATACAAGTACTTGTTAATGTGAAGTATTAGTTTCCTTATCTTCATCAAGTTTATGGAAAAGTTATCTTAGTTTTGATTGAGGTTATTGGTGATAAAAATGAATAATAATTATGTTGTTTATTTATTTATTTTAAATTGATTAAAATAAACTCATTCAATACTTTCATTGAGACTTGTCTTATTTACCTTTAATTAAGATTGTTTATTGAGTTTAAACATTCATGCATTTTAAAGAAAAAGACTCATTTTAAGGTCTTAGCTAAATGTACAAATTTCCTTATAATTTTAAAGTTCTTAAATAGTGACTTAAGTTTTTTTAATTAATATATATATATATATACTATCACATATCAATTTTAAAATCTTTATGTTATTGCTTGCATTATGTTTGAAATTTTAGCTTTGCTATCATGCCATTTTTATATTTATAATAATTTTTTTATAAATGCTATGAAGAATTTGTTATTAAACCTTTATATGCCATGTATAAATAGATTTTGTATTTAATGAATATTTGATTTTAATCATTTTTATTTATTATTTTAGCATTAATTAGTTTTTAACAAGTATTAATTGGTTTGTTAAAAGGTATTTGCATAATTTATCATAAGTTTAAGATCTTTAGATTATACAATTTTATTTCTTGTAATTATCACATTTTAATATTATTATCAATTTATCATCACTTTTATGTAGATAAATTCCTCAACATAAATCTTATATGTATACAAGTAAGAATCTTTTGTATAATTCGATAGATATTAAATTTTATAAATATTAAGAAGTCACCAATAGTAAGATTCTAGTAATTGCTAAATTACCTTGCAGTTTATGAAATATTGTAATAGAAATTTGAAAAAGTAGTTAGAAGTAATATCTTTTCATTGTACCAACAATAAAATTTTATAATTTTATTCCTTCAAGATAACAAAAAAATCCAAAAATTATAATGTACATGATTTATTAATCTGTTAACATTTTCTAATCAATGTATCTTTTGAAATTATTTCAAATAATACACTTATACAATCAACAATAATTTATTTGACTAACAGAGGTATTCTCAAGGAGAAGAACATGATAAAGACAAATAAATAAGTGAGACTTCTTTCAAAGAAAGATGACAAAATAGAAATAACTTGATATGTATATTAAGAAAGAAACTGGAATGGCTATTGCTAAAAGACAAGAAAACTAGAAATCCTTGAAACTAGACTAGAAGTAAGAAAAGAGTTGACAAGAAAGCTTCACTCTTGTCTCTATATATACTATCTAACTAGAGGGTACGTGGCGACGTTCTATAGGACCTCCAATATGTGTTGATTTTGTAAGACATATGCCTTGACTTACAAGACAAGTTTTTCTACATGTGGGCCACATAGTTAGCTTGATCTTCAAGCAAACAACATGTGTGGCACATGGCCAACTTGTTGACTACGTTTTTAATCCAAAAAGTCAATTGAAGACACCTATAAAGTCAAAGTAGCATCTATTAAGCTTCTAAGAAGCTTCTATAGTAAATACTATAGAATTAACTTAGTTTTATCTATTTTTACTTACTTCTACCTATTTATATATGTAATTATTGACTTACATGAGTATGTCTATGAAATAACCCCCCTTTCTAGTAACGAGTTCCAGAAAGAGTGGTCATCATATGTTGAGAAAATCTATGATGCAACAAATTGTATTTGCCACATACTCTGATCTTTGTTTTTTTTGAAGATGATTGATTGAGCCTCTCAACCATCGATAGTGTCCCATACCAAGGCTGGAAGACCACCCAATTATTTGATTATTGTTGAGGTCTTCATAACTTCCTTCAAATAAAATATTTGGAACACTGTCACGAGTTGTTCCTACCTCTAATAAAATCACCAAAAATCAAGAGTTCCTTCCAAGGTCGTGATACCAAACGCCTTGTATCTCACCATCTATTCGAGGAAAAACATGTAGTTCTTGAAGATCTTCATCTCGATTGTGTTGTCTTGAAGGTTGTGACAATTATAATGTCTCATCTGGCAGGTTAGCAAACAAAGGCTCTTGAGTCTAATCCATTGGTTGTTGGTTCTCCATCTCTTGAGTGTCACAACTACAAAGAAGCTACAAACAAAGATTGAAAGTAGAATGTTATCTTGCCTAGATCTTATTTCTTTAATAGAAAAGATTTTCATTGTGATTTTGATGGATGTCGTCGATGAAAAGCCTCCACCGCCTTTGCTGCATTTGTAAGATTTTATGCTAGCTCCCATGTACATTCACTAATATGATATCTAAGCCAATGGACAAGATACTCCAATTTATTTTGGCGTCGCCTTGAATCTAAGACTTCTTCCACTTCAAACTCTTCATTATTGTCTACTTCTATAGGAGGAGGTGGAGCTTGTCTTCTTCTTGGTATGTCCATTGTCTTATATGGTTCAAGAAGAGACACGTGGAATAGTAGATGGATTTTCATTGACTATGGTAGATGTAACTGATATGCAACTAGATTCATTTGTACAAAAATAGAAAATGGTCCAAGATTTTGATAGTCCAACTTGTCACAAGGACGAGTGGTCTTGATATTGTAATGAAGTAACTATATCTTATCACCTAAGTGGAATGGTGGTTGTTCCTTTTGAAAGACATCCGCATTGACCTTTTGTTGTTCTTGAGCTTCTTTTAACTACACCTTCATTGTTGCATGTAGCTTTGATAAATGAATAGCCAAATCTTTCGGAGCTGGATTATCAACTTTTATAAAATTAAAAGTATCAAGTCATGGATGATAACTATAATTAGTAAATAAAGGTGTTTATTTTGTAGAAGAATGTACCATGTTATTGTAAGCAAACTTTGCCAATGTCAAAAGAGTTGTCCAATCATCTTATTAGTAGTTAATGGTATATCTTAAATACTGCTCCAAAACTTCATTAACACGCTGTCTTTGTCCATCAATTTGAGGATGGAATACCAAAGATAGTTTTATATCTACTTTTAGAATCTTGAAAAAAATCCACCAAAATCTTAATACAAATTGAGTTCCCCTATCTGTTAAAATATCCTTGGATAATCCATGATAGCGATAGCTATTGTCAAGAAAGAGCTTAGCTGTTTCTTCACTTGTGATAGATTTTGTATATGGTACAAAATGTGCCAACTTGGTAAAATAATCCACTATCACGAATATAGAATCATAAGAACTTGAGATTGGAAGATCCGTGATGAAATCCATAGAAATAGAAGTCCATGGTTATTTTGGAATGGATAATGGCTGAAAAAGTCCGTAAGATCGATGACAAGGAGTTTTTGATCTGGAGCAAATATTACAAGATTGTACAAAATCTTTGATTGCTTTCCATATTTGTGGCCACCAAAAGTCTGTGGATGTTAGTTCTAAAGTTTTATTGTATAGAAAATATCCTGCTTGAAGAAAGTCATGATGAGCTTGAAGAATACGTAATCGAGCTTCACCTTTTGGAACATATAGGCGTCCTTCAAAATATAGTAGATTCTTCTTAAATTCAAACTTGAAAGTATCATAAGACTTTGAAGGATTTTCTTTAATATCACAAATAAGAGGATCAAAAGACATACTTAACTGAACTTGCTTAAAAAAAGTTGAATCAATAGTTAGTGTTGATTTTATTGCTCGAAGATGAAGATGCTTTGGCTTGAAGAAAATTATTCATTATTAATCAAAAGCAGCATCTCCTTCCTCTGGTGCAAGATAAGATCGTTTAGAGAGTGCATCTTACAAACCTTGTTGTTTTTTTAGTCAATAAGTGATCTTGAATTCAAATCTTGACAAAGTTATACTCCGATGAGCTTGGCGACGATTCAAAATACGTGCTAATATAAAATATTTAAGATTCTTGTGATCCGTATACACTGTGACTAGGTTAGAAGCACCTTCTAGATAATGGCGCCATTCTTGAAATGAATCCATGATTGCAAGAAGTTCTTTATCGTGGATCTCGTAGTTGATCTTGGCAGTTGAAAATTTTTTGGAATGAAAAGCTATTAGATGAAGTTTATCATCATTTTCTAACAATACGATATCCAAAGAAAAGTCTGATGCATCTATTTCCATAAAAAATGGTTTAGAAAAATCGACGCGATATAAGATTGGTGTAGAAATAAAGGCTGTCTTCAAAGCTTCAAATGCTACTTCAGCTTCTTGATTCTATTGAAGTTTTTTTTTGCAAGTCAAACGTGTAAGTGGAGCTGCAACTTAAGAGAAGTCTTTAATGAAGATCCAATAGTAGTTGGTAAATTCCAAAAATCATTGGACATTTCTTATTGTTTTTCGGATCTTCCAATCCATAATAGTTTGAACTTTCTTAGGATCCATCATAAGTCCATCATTTGTAATGATGTATCCTAAGAATTCGACTTGAGTAGTGTAAAATATATACTTTTCTATCTTAGCATAGAATCTTACATTTTTTAGTTTTTGTAATACTTGGCGAACATAAAGTTCATGTTCTTCTGGGTTCTTAGAATAGATTAAGATGTCCTCTAGGTAACAAATAACAAAGTCATCTAAAAACTTCCAAAAGACATCATTCATTAGATGTTACAATACTGCTGGTGTATTTTTAAGTCCATAAGGTATGATATTGTATTCAAAATGTCCATACCTTATTCAAAATATAGTATTCCATTCATCTCTTTCTTTGATGCGTACCAAATTGTATGCTCCGCATAGATCTATTTTTGTATAGATCTTAGCTTGATTCAACTAATCAAGAAGTC